TCCGATATCCCTATAAGGGAAGCAGCAAGGGGAGGAATCGGCTGGCAGAAACTGCCGCTTTACCTCCAACCAGCAAGAAATCCACAGTGAATCACCAAGTAAATCCAGTATAAATCCTGAGAAATTGTCAATTAGTCAAGAGAGAATTGAAAATAGGTCTCGTAGGCTTGGAACTGAGTAAAGAGAACTGGAGGGAAACGGAAATCCAGTCAGAGGAGGCATGGCTTTGAAATTTGCATAACTCAGTCTCAAGGCTAGAGGGCTAAGTTAACCCATGATTGGATTCCCAGAGCAGCACACAGGAGAAAGATGGCTACCGTCTTTCCACACCTGGAGGAGGGGCAGAACGCCAGCAGCCGAAATGGCGTGGCTGACTCACCCCAAAATCACGCTGCAGCGGCAAGGCTCTCAAAGCGCTGGAAAACGGTGACCCACGCCTAAGAATTCTGCCTGCACCCACTCGAGGCAAGAACGCACTGCCTTCTCAGTAAGCACGCAAAGGGAACGGGAGGCAGTACTAGTGGGTTGTTGGGCCCCGTGCCGACATGAGAGTGGTGAACCAACTCTCACCACGGCCACTGATCAGGGAAAGAGAGCGGCAAACTGACCCTCTACTGATTAGACCCGTTCAGACCTCAGGCATGTAAGTCTCCTGGTGAACCTTCCTGCGGCTGCTACAGTCGCAAGGAAGCGCAATTTTATAACTTAGGAAACACAAACACCAACAATCCGTAGTCAAACGTACCAAAAAGAAGAAAAAATCCAAGTCAAATGAGCGAAATTTGTCTATTATCCTAGAGGAGAAAAATTTTGTGTCTCTTTAAGGCTGGACTGAGTTACAAAACTGAATTATCCCAGTAAGAGGAGGCGTGGTCAACAATTACCTAACTCAGTCTCTAGTCTATTGGACAAAGTTAACCGATGCTTGGATTCCCCAAGCAGCGCACAGAACAATAATATTGTTTAAAACCTGTTCCAGGGAAGTGAGAATACAATACAATAGCAAAGTGGAAAGGGACCTTGGAGATCTTCTAGTCCAACCCCCAGCCTAGGCAGGAAATCCTATACCATTTCAGACAAATGGCTATCCAACATCTTAAAGACTTCCAGTGTTGGATCATTCACAACTCTGGAGGAAAGCTGTTCCGCTGATTAATTGTTCTAACTGTCAGGAAATTTCTCCTCAGTTCCAAGTTCCTTCTCTCCTTGATTAGTTTCCACCTATTGCTTCTTGTTCTGCCCTCAGGTGCTTTGGAGAATAG